TGCATTTGAGGATACATTTAATCTGTAATCCAATCTTCTTTATATCAACACTGGAGACTCCTGCATAAACGGGGAGGGTTTTGTAGAGGTGAATCATCCAAGTCTCTGCTCTGATTGGTCAGCTGCCCTGCCAATAATTCTTACATTCTGCTCGTGCAGGTGCAACGCTGGGCTCTGAACTAGCCGTTGCAGGAAAGCTAAGGGGAAAATCACCCATTTCATGGTAAACCCTGCGCTTATCTTGAGTAGCGGGCCTGTGTTTATTACAACAGCGGAAACAGAAAGAACGGAGCTTATTTATCCATTACGAGGTCAGTGATTTAGGTAGTTGTTAATAAGCAAGAGTAACCTTCATTTGACATAGCTGGGATGCTTAGCTAGCTCTTATTGTCCCATTTAACTACAGATGGACTCAATTAGCCGTTTACTAGCTTTCTGCTTTGTTGTTAATTATTAATGCTGTAATATTTATTATCAACGCTGAACGGCGGTAAGTAACTAACATAGAACAGACCGTCATAAATCGGAGGGTTTGTGTCTAGCTAACTTTGAGAGTACAGCTAAATAATTCAAGCTAAGCTCTGCTACTGGATGGTTATGCGATTCAGGCCGTTTTACTTAGGAGAGGAAGATCAGAAGCAACCACTGGAATAACAGAGATGAATGAAACAATGTCTCCGTTTTTTTTTTTTTTACAGCATTGTGAAGCATGTTACCAGCGACTTGACCTGTCCGGCTCAGGCTCTTGTCATCCCTGGATGGGAGACGATAGGACAGTCAGTTTAGTCGATGCTTAGTCTGTTAAGCCCTTCTACTTCCGCCCTCTTATCCTCCATGAAGTGAAGGTGTGAGGTTTGTGTCCGACTGCTGGGACGCTGAAGTACTCCAGGGTGGGAAAGGGAGGACGGGGGAGGGCTGCTCTCAGTGGGAGTCACACAGAGGGTGTTTATTCTCCCTCAAAACATCTATCACCAACAGAGGTGCAGGTTGCCTTGGTTACACTGAGCCTGTTCCATGTTTTCCAAAGATTGAGTTGCAAGCAGTTTTTTTTAAATGAATCAAATATCTACAGTCAGTATTTACTAACTTGTGTGACTCTGTGCTTTACTGGATTTCAGCTTCTGAACTGCATCCTGACTGATGGTGATCCATTCTTGTCTCCTTGGTGCTTGACATTGGATTATCAGATCTTTGAGACCTCCGTTCACTTTGCCTTATGATATGGTGCTCCATTATGCTGGAGACAGCTCAGAAGTTTCTGTCTCAGGACAGAGATGATGCCACTACTTTCTGCAGAATTTTACTTTGTTTTTATTGTTTTCTTGGACAGAATTGCCGTCTTTGCTGTGCTCATCACACGGCTGTTGTCCAAACTGTTCTTCCCCTCACCCCTACATGTGCGGATGAACTCATCCTTCTGCTGCTAATATTCAGAGTCTGCAGTTGTAGCAACCCAATTCTGTAGTGCACCCTGGGGAATAGATAGCTTGGTGCTAGCTTAGATGCTCCAAAAGCCTTCTTCTCTTTGAAGCATATTTGTTCCTCCTTTATAACAGTTTTTCGCAGCATCACCTGTTTTGATGATGTGATATCATAGCAGATGAAAAATTAGCTGAAATGAACAAGTGAGTCTTGCTATAAAGTTTAAAATGTATACTGAGATTCATTCTGAATTAATCTGAAACACAACGATCCAACTATAATATAAACTGTCAGCACAAAAACTGAAGTTGCAAAGTTTGTAGAAAATAACACTGCTATAAGGCCCAAACATCTGGCCATGTGTTCATGTTGTACCTCAAACTCAGACTGTAAAGTCCTAGAGAAAGTCTGGAGAGAACAAACAGAAACAATGAAAATAGCTAGAGTCAGGGGATCCTCTGTGACAGAGCTGGAGCATGTGCTTGTTGTATTCAAGTGTTTTGTGTGGTCTCTGTTTGAATGATGGCTTATTGTTTCCTAAGTATGTAAACTTCAGGTGCTAATTTTGCCTGTTTGTTCATGTATAGATGGCGTCTGCAAATGCGACATATGGACAGAAGGAATCCTCGGACCAGAATTTTGATTACATGTTTAAAATCCTCATCATTGGAAACAGCAGCGTGGGAAAAACCTCCTTCCTTTTCCGCTATGCAGATGACTCGTTCACGCCGGCGTTTGTCAGCACGGTGGGAATCGACTTCAAGGTCAAGACCATCTATAGGAACGACAAGAGGATAAAACTACAGATCTGGGTGAGGACTCTAGGTTTGTGGGCACACTTTGTTTTTAGATGAGCACCAGACATTTGTGGCCATTTTTTAAAAAAAAACGTTGATCTGCCTATTTGATACCCCTTTTTTTTTTTTTTTCTTTTTTTTTTTCCCCGTTATTTCTCTTATTGCTGGGTTGTGGATGACGTAGTACCGATGTCACGCAATGCAGATGGAGGGCGGGAAGTAAATGCAGCCCATTTACTTCTGTTGATCCAGC